GGGGGGGGGGGGCAGGGTTGAGAAGGGACAGGAGAGCGACAGGAGACGGGTTCCCAAGGTACTCCTGGTGTTGGCATTCTTTTAAAAGAGTTATTCTGTAAACAGGCACACGCGGTGGGATCAAATAAACTACGTCCGTGGGAGGAATACGGGTCACTCCGTTGCAATCTCGGGTCAACAGAATAAAGACGAGACACACGCAAGGTTTCAAGGCCGAGCAAGGGGAGAGAAACCACCAAAGGGGCCTGAGCTCCAGGTACAGCAGGGATGAGAGAGACTGCAGAAGTCTGGCTCACTGCAGACGGGCACGTTTCTGTTTTAATTCTTACCTGCGTGTCTCTTTCTCACGTACACTCTCCTCTCTAGGCAGGCTTTGTATGTGGCTTGGATTCTTGCAACTTAAAATGAAACAAAAGTTTTGGTGAGATGGCTCTCAGTTGTGCACCTGCGTGGTAACGCTTTTCCAAGGGCAGGTCAGAAGCAGCCCTCGGGGTGTGCCACGCGGAGCTGACTGGGAAGAGATGGGAAGGGGTGGGCCCATCCTCTCTCCCTCCCTCCTCCCTCCCTCCTTCCTCCCTCCAAGGTAAAGAACAGACTCGGTGGTTAGAGCTCCCCACCCCCGTCTGTCTACGGGGGGCCTGCTGGCCCTCGGTTCCATGGCCCTCGGACCACATGCTTGCTCGCCCTCGAGCTGCCCTGTCCACCTCCCTCCACCTGGGGACTGAATTCCCAACACAAGCCAGGCGCACTGAGGGCCCCACAACCAGTGGCATCCCATTCCCTGGGGGCTGGTTAGAAACGCTGGGGTCTCGCCTGCAGCCAGCACCCACCCAGAAACCAGGTCCCGGGATTGGTGCCCACTGCTGTCAGGGTCCAAAAAAAGGACGGTGGTCACAAGCCCGGGTCCTGAAGGCGGGCAGCCCCATGTTCCAACCCAAGCTCTGCCGCTTACTAGCTGTGCAGCCTTCAGCAAGTTACCAACATCTTGGGCCTCAGTTTCCCTGACTGCAAAGTGGAGATAATACAGCTGCACAGGTTAGTTTTAAAGAGCACAACGAGGTCCTGAGGGCAGAGGACTTAATAGGTACCTGGCACACAGAAAGCACTCAGGTACACGCAGCAGGGTCTGTCTCGACAGACCAGTTGAGATTTCAAGGGAGAAGCCCCACTGCACTCCAAGAGTTTTTACATTTTTTTGCACCCCCAACCTCCACCCCAGAACTTTTCTCATTTGCCGTTCACTGTGCTCCCCGCGCGCCCCACCCCCCACCCCGTGCCTGCAGGCTTTGAGGCGACACCTTCCGGCATCAGATACTGGTATGAACGCAGTGTTCAAAGCTTCATTTGAGGTTCGGGTCCTAACAAGTGGGATGGCAATCCGGCATGTAAGTTTCCGTGTGCATCCATGACTACCCTCCAAACACGCATTAAGGCATATAAACCCATGTGTTCTCATTCTGGGTTTCCAAAGCGAGTGCTTCTTACATTAGATCAGACACCATGTGTAAGATGTAACCCAAGCTAAGCCGGTTCATTTCACATTCTACGGAAATCAGGACAGGAAAAAAAAAAAAGAAAGAAAATCATACCTAATTGATGTTTACTAAATTCAAAGGCATCTTCAGTAGCAAACAGAGTTCTGGGGAAACGAATGAATATCTTGGTTCTAGAAGTGAAAGAAAAGACTGTTGTCATGAGTAATTGGCTGGCTTGAATAGTGTCCCCTCGCCAGAACCTCAGAATGTGATCTTATCTGGAAATAGGGTCTTTGCAGACGTCATCAAGGTAGGGATTGAGAAGAGATCATCCAGAATTAGGGTTCACCTAAATCCGGCATGCGTGTGCATCTAAGAGACAGAAAAGGACACACAGGCACAGGGAGGTTCATGTGAAGACAGAAGCAGAGACTGGAGGGAAGTGGCCACAAGCCAAGGAAGGTCAGGAGCCACCAGAAGCTGGAAGAGGCAAGGAAGGACCCTCCCACAGAGCCCGCCGACACCTTGAGAACACTCTTCTGTTATTTAAAGCCAGCCAGTCTGTGGTCATTTGTTGCCAGCCTCAGGAAACTACTACATTGATTTGACCTGAAGTTAGTTCCTTAGGCTTTGAAGATTGATGACAAGGAATATGAGTCTCAGTTTTTGTTTTGTTTTTTAGGTTTTATCTTTTTTCTTTTTAATTTTTTTTAACGTTTATTTTTGAGACAGGGAGAGACAGAGCATGAACGGGGGAGGGTCAGAGAGAGAGGGAGACATAGAATCCGAAACAGGCTCCAGGCTCTGAGCAGTCAGCATCAGAGCCCGACGCGGGGCTCAAACTCACGGACCGTGAGATCATGACCCGAGCCGAAGTCGGACGCTCAACCAACTGAGCCACCCAGGCGCCCCAGGTTTTATCTTTTTAAAAAATGTTTATTTGAGAGAGAGTGTGTGCACGCACAAGTGGGGGAGGGGCCGAGAGGGACAGAGAGGATCCCAAGTAGGTTCCACACTGTCAGTGCAGAGCCTGATATGGGGCTCGATCCCAAGAACCGTGAGATCATGGCCTGAGCCGAAATCAAGAATCAGATGCTTAACCAACTGAGCCACCTAGGTGCTCCCAGTCTCAGCTTAAAAGAAGATCCCCTTGGGGCGCCTGGGTGGCTCGATTTGTTAAGCATCTGACTTCAGCGCAGGTCATGATCTCATAGTTCGTGAGTTCAAGCCCCAAGTCAGGCTCTGTGCTGACAGCTCCGAGCCTGGAGCGTGCTTCGGATTCTGTGTCTCCCCCTCTCTCTCTCTGTGTCCCTCCCCTGCTCACGCTCTGTCTCTCAAAAAATAAATATTAAAAAAAAAAAAATTAAAAAAAAAAAAAAAGGAAATCCCCTCCACCAGCAAAGATAAATTATCAATATGCATCACTTTCTACCTGCCCTATGCACCCTGTGAGGGCAACTTACCACCTATGACCTCTTTAGTCCGCCTCCCTTGGGCTGTGTGAAGCTCCATTCCCCTCAGGGATCAGGCTTAGAAATGTGGTTAATACTTGAAGCAGGTCCCAGGACAGAAGTGTAAGGATGGAGAGGGACCAGGTGGCCAAACGGCTGTCTATATGTGAGTGGGAGTTAGGAGTTGACAGGCAAAGCCCCTGATAGATTCGAAGGCAGAGATCCCTGGAGCTGGATTCTCTGTGGCCTGGGAATGCCCGTCTATACCCTTGGGCACCGCTCCCTACCACCTAATTCACCCTGACCAAAAGGACTTATAGGACAAACTAAAATCTTCGCGGTTCGCCCCACTGAGTTCTGCCTCAAACGCTTCCAATGTGTACAAAAGTTCTCCTCGCGGACAACTACAGCGATAGTAATGTACTTGGAGTTCTAGAACACCACCTTCTGGGATGCCCGAGGAGCTTTGGCATCACAGAAGTCCTAATATCCCCTCTGAGAGGTCCTGCGTGCATGTGATCAATAACAAGACCAAACAAACTCATCTCGCAGGCAAAGACGTTCAACCCAGCCCTGAGTGAGGTATAGAACACAGGGTTCCTTTCTAACTTAATCTCCTCCCGTAGGCAGTGCTAGAGCCCTTCCAACCACTTGGAGCTTGTGATGTTGTGACTCTTAATAATAAATACATACTTGGGGATGCCTGGCGGGCTCAGCCAGTTAAGCATCGGTTGAGTGTCCGACTCTTTTTTTTTTTTTT